GTCTTCAGAGCAAAGAATGTTACTACTGATAAAGAGGTCATTCATAATAAAGGGGTCAATTCATCAAGAGGACATAACAATCCTAAATATTTGCACTCCTAATAACAGGGCTTCAAACTAGGTGAAGCAAAAACTGATAGAAATGCAAGGAGAAATAGACAAATCTACAATTATAGTTGGCAATTTCAATAATCCTCTCTCAATATTTGATAGAACAAGTGGACAGAAAATAAGTAAGAATGTAGAAGATTTGGACAAAACTGTCAACAACTAGACCTAATTTATAGACTCCTCCTCCTAACCAAAGCAGAATAATTTTTCTCAGTGCACACAGAACACTTACCAAGATAGACCATATCCTAGGCCCAAAACAAGTCTTAATGAATTTAAAAGGATTCAAATCATACGACATGTGTTTTCTGACCACAGTGGAATTAAATTAGAAATCAGTAACAGAAAGATTTTTGGCAAATCCTCCCAAGTTTGGAAACTGACAATTCTAAATAACCCATATGTCAAAGGAGAAATCCAGAGTGAAATTAGAAGATATTTTGAGCTGAATTAAAATGAAAACACAACATACCAAAATATGGGGGATATGCTGCTCTAAAGCAGCACTTAGGGGAACAATTATAGACTAAACACTTTAAGAAACTGGAAAAAGAAGACCAAATTAAACCCAAAGTAAGCAGATGAAAAGAAATAAGATCAGAGTGGAAATCGATGAAATAGAACACGAGTTCCAAACTACAGCCTGTGGGCTGGCCCCCTTCGTAAATAAAGTTTCACACAAACACAGCCATGCTCTTTCATTTACGTATCGTCTCTGGCTGCTCTTTAAGCTGCAACAGCAGAGTGGGTAGTTGTGGCAGAGACCACATGGCTTGAAAACCTAAAATATTTAGTCTCTAGCCCTTTAAAAAAAATTGCTGATCAGAAAAACAATAGGCAAAGTCAGTAAAACAAAAAGCTGTTTTCTTGAGATCAGTAAAATCAGTAAGCCTCTAGCAAGGACAGATCAGGGAAAGAAGAGAGAAGACACAAATTACTAACAGCCGAAATGAGAGAGGTGACATCGCTATAGATTCTTCATATATTAGAAGGATAATAAGAAACAACTTGATGAACAACTTTACGAACAACTTTACGCCAATAAATAAATCAAAAGTTACACCAATAAATTTGACGAGATGAAACAGACAAATTCCTTGAAAGACACAAATTACCAAATCTTAGTCAAGAAGAAATAGATGTATATATTAAAGAAATTTGAATTTGTTATTAAAAACCTTCCTACAAAGAAAACTCCAGGCCTACATGGATTCACTGGTGAATCCTACCAAATATTGAAGGAAGAAATAATAGCAACTCTACATAAACTCTTCCAAAAATATTGAAAAGGAAGGAATACTTACCAGCTTATTCTGTGAGGCCAGCATTACCCTGATACCAAGACCAGACAAAGACATTATAGAAAGAGAAAACTGCAGACCAATATCCTTCATGAATATAAATGAAAAATTCTCAACAAAATTTTAGGAAATTGAGTCCCACAATACATAAAAAGGATAATACATCATAACCAAGTGGGATTTATCCAAGGAATGCAAAGTTAGTTTAATATTTGAAAATCCATCAACATAATTCATCATATTAACAAACTAAAAAAAAAATCATGTGATATCTCAATAGATGCAGAAAAAGCATTTGACAAAATCCAACATCCATTTCTGATAAAAACCCTCAGCAAACTGGGAATAGAAGAGAACTTCTTCAACCCGAGAAAGGACATCTACAAAAAACCAACAGCAGATATACTTTTTAGATTTTATATCTTTCCACCCAAAGCCCCAGTAGATTGTTGTACGTCATAGCTGCACATCCTTCTACTTGCTGTATGTGGGACACGGCCTCAGCATGGCCGGAGAAGCAGTGCTTCGGTGCGCGCCCGGGATCCGAACCTAGGCCGCCAGCAGCGGAGCGCACGCACTTAACCACTAAGCCACGGGGCCGGCCCCAACAGGAGATATACTTAATGGTGAAAAACTGGATGCTTTCGCCCTAACGTCAAGATCAAGACAAGGATGTCCTCTCTCACCACTTCTATCCAACATTGTATTTGAGGCTCTAGTCCGTGCAATTGATGAGAAAAGAAATAAAAGTCACCCAGATTGGAAAGGAAGAAGTAAAACTGTCTTTATTTGCAGATGGCACGATCGCCTGTGTAGGGGCACCAGCAAGTCAATGGAGAAAAGATAGTCTGTTCAACAAATGGTGCTGGAATAACTGGGCATCCATATGCAAAATGATGAACTTCAGTCCATACCTTGCACCATATACAAAAACTAACTCATAGACCTAAATGTCAATCCCCCAACTATGAAACTTCTAAAAGAAAATCTAGGAGAAAACTTTTATGACTTTGGGTTAAGCAAAGATTTCTTAGATATAATACTAGAAGCACATCAATAAAAGAAAAAAATAGATAAATTGGGCTTCATCAAGATTAAAAACTTATGGAAACAGTGTATTTCCACTGTTAAGAGAATGAAAAGAAAAGGCATAGACTAGGAGAAATATTTGCAAAGCATATATCTGATAAAGGGCTTATGTCCAGAACATGTGAAAAACTCTCAAAACTCAATGTGAAAAAATGAACAACTCATTTCAAAAATGAACAAAAGGTTTCAATAGCTATTTCACCAAGAAGACACACAGAGGGCAATTAAGTACATAAAAAGATGTCCAACATCAGTAGTCATTTGGGAAATGCAAATTCAAACACAATGCTATACCCCTACTCACCCGTTAAAATAACTAAAAGTGAAAAGACTGACCACACCACGTGCTGTAGAGGAAGGGGAGGAACTGGAGCTCTCCTGCGCTGCTGGTGGGGATGTAAAGTGTTGCAGACGCTTTGGAAAACGGTTTGTGGCAATTTCTTAAAAAGTTCAACGTACATGTATAAAAATATACATAAATAAACACACATACATGAAAATATGTAAAAAGTTAAAACATACAGGCTCAGAGCACCAGGAGGGCAGGACTAGGCAGAGGCACAGCTGGACATGAGAGCCTCTGCCAACCTCTGGGCAGGGTGGATCCAAGTTTTGTGGGAAACTTATATGAAGCTTATATGACTTGAGTGGCCCTCTTTAGAAAAAAGAATTTAAAAGTGAGAAATCTGTACTAGGTACAAAAGTGAGTATTTAGGACAAACAAGTAACCACAACAAATTCTTGGGGCCAAGGATTGCTGAGTCCTTTTCTTCTGAGTCGTCTTGAGACACTTTTCCAGAAAAGCTTCCTGGTGGCACCTGGCTTCCCCTCCCCCCCGGAGCACTCATCCATCCCAGCCTGATAGCCCATGTGGTGTGGGGCCCTAAAGATGCAGAGCCGCAGTCCCCGCCTCGGTGGTAGTGCCCACCCCCCTGTGAATGACCACAGCAGCCGAGGCAGCCTCTGCTCTCAGCAGGCCCACACCCCCTCTTCCGGCTCTGCTGTCTCTGCATCCCGCTCCCTTTCTCTCCACCTCCACAGCTCTCTGCCCAGTGGCTGCGGGGTCCTAAAGGAGCAGGGCTGTGTGTGTGGTGAGGGCCTCCAGAAGGCACCCTAGCGCCCTGGCAGTCTTGTCTCCTTGTTCCCCATGCCCTATCCCTCCGAGCAGCCTCCTCAGTTTCCCTATCCTCAGCGGCCTTGCTGTGACCATTGTCAGACAGACGAGCGTTGTTTGAGAGGGGTGACGGGAGCCTGGGGTGGGTCAGAGCCCAGAGCTAGGGACTCTGAATCCCTGGCTCTACCACGTCTTAGCTGTGTGAGTTCGGACAAGTTCCTTAATCACTCTGTGCCTCAGTTTCCTCATCTATAAAATGCAGATAGTAACACTACCTCCCTTCCACAGTCACTGTGAAGATGAAAGACTCCTAGGAGGGCAGGTGTGTCTGTCAGCTTTGTTCATTTAAGCATCAGCAGCTTCTAGAAGAGTCCCAGGCAGGTACCAAGCACTCAGTAAGCACTTGCTCTTGCCTGGTCTCCATCCCTGGGCTGCAGGCTCCCGCAAGGAATGGCCTGGGTCTCACAGTTCTCCCTCACTGCCATCCCACTCCCTTGGGAATACGGGTCCCTGGGCCCACAGCCCACCAGCAGACGGTCCTGGTTTGGGTCTGAGGCTATAGGACCTTAGGCAAGGACATAGGTGAGTTACATATTATGGGATGTTGCAAGGAGTGCATAAAGACACGATCATTCTTGAAAATCCCTTAAATTGCCTATAAAGTTCAGTATAAATGGTTTTAGGTACATCCCAAAGATTAATTCATTTACACATGAAAACGTGAGAACCACTGGAGCGACTGTAGGGAAAAGGCAGTTGCTAAGCAGCTGTCTGAGCTTCCCCATCCTTCTGCCTCTAGATAAGGACCCAGTCTCTAGCTGTGAGTGGGGACAGGTGAGAATTCTGGAACATTTGCTCCATCCTGGTTTAACGTCAAGCCTCTGTAACGTTAATACATATGGAGAATCGGCTCGTCTCTTCAGGCTGGGGACAGCAGGCTGCAATGTCAGAGTCGAAGTTAAAAGCGCCTGGTGACATTGACCTGTACACTTACGATGTGTTGATTTAAAACAAAACACAGAGAGAGGCTACTCTGGGTACCAGACTTTTCCGAGCTGGCCTCACATCTGCATGCCATTTTTCTCATAGTGCCCTGGGATGCTTTTAATGATTTCTGTTTTGACACAGAAAAAATAAAGAAAGACTAAGGGAGAAAAGAGAAAACCAGAAAGGACCCCAAAGACAGACATATGCAGTGTGAAGGGATGGGCTGCAAAGATAGACCAAAAAGCAGGCTGTTGCTGAGGGGTTTTGGAGAGGCGGCCTCGGCCTTCTCACACCCTAGGGGGAAAGCTGACAGTGTTGGGGCCGACGAGAGAGCCGTGGGGGCGCCCGGTGTCCGCACAGGGACCCCTGCAGTAAGCCTGTGTCTCCCTGTCTTGCAGGTGGTGCCGGGGAGCGGGAGAAGGTGCCGGCCAACCCCGAGGCGCTCCTGCTCGTGGCCAGCTCCCAGCGTGACATGGAGGACTGGGTGCAGGCCATCCGCCGGGTCATCTGGGCCCCGTTTGGCGGAGGTACTGCCCGTAGCTCGCATGCTCACCCTCTAGAACCCTTGCCTCCAGGTAATCATGCCCCTCTGCCCCCCACTGAGCTTGCAAGACCCCTGTCGCTCAAGACCCACTGGGTGTGTCCCATGCTGCTTACAGCAGGCTGCAGTGTCGTCCTCTTCTGCTGCCGGCTCTCCAAGTCACCAAGCAGGCCCTGAGGGGGGAATCAGAGCCACTTTTCAAAAACACGCGCTCCTCCTACCAGAGTCTTATGGCTTTTGTATACTTGTGTCCCTGCGTCCAGACCCCTGCTGGACGCTAGGTATGTGTGAGGTGGTTTGCATATACGCGAAAAGCAGGCCGCATGCTCTGGAGGGGTCATATCAGATGCCTAGGGACACCATGCCTCAGCCCCACGGGGCCCCGCACTGCGCACAGAACCTGCGCCCTGTCCCTGATCTGAAAGAGCGGTTGCCATTTGCTCCCTTCCTGCTTTGTTCACAGCACTTGCTGGGTGCCTACAATATCCCAGGCTGTACTCCAGGCACTCGGAATTCAGTGGGAAACAAAGTTGAGGATGCCTCTGGCCCCCCTCCCCTCGATTGTCCTCTGGGAAACACGATAGGCAAGTGAACGTGTCACATGATGTCCAGTAGTGAGAAACCAGTAGTGGGAGCCGGGGAAATGCCGGGGGAAGAGCACGCAGGCAGAGGGACCAGCGAGTGCAAAGGCCCTGAGGTGGGAATGAGCGATGGGAACACGAGGAATCTCAGGAAGGCCAGTGCGTCTGAGGGAGTGAGGACGGGAGAGTGGAGGACGTGAGGTGACAGTGGTCGCTGAGGCCTTGGGGACATGGTGGGATTTCAGATTTTTTTCTAAATTTGTGGAGTACCAGGGAGGACTGAGCAGGAGACAGACACAACCTGACTTAGATTTATAGAAAGAGCCCTCTGGCCTCCATGTGAGGGGTGGACCATAGAGAGACAAGAGTGGACGCAGCAAGGCTGGGACAGTCATCTGACCAGAGGTGATGGGGTGTTTGCTGGTGTGGGAGTGAAGAGTGGGCAGCGCAGCTGTGTTCTGCAGGTGGAGCTGCTGGGTTTTGCTGGTGGGCTGGACATGGGTGCTAGAGAAAGGAGAGGTGACTCCCAGCTGTGCAGTTGCCATCTCTGTAGGTTGGTGTCCGTATGAAGTCATCATGGAAAGAGCTTTTAGAAGGGGTCACCGTGCTGGATGGGCCAGGGCCACCAACTCCCTGCTGATAGTGGACACCAGGAACCTTCAGACTGGCCGTGGACGTCCTCCCTCCCCACTCAGTGTGTGATTGGTGTATCTTCCAGGCAGGGGAAGACCTGCAGCTGTGGGGGCTCAGAGCCCATCTCCGGATCCTGCGTTCCCCGTAGGCTGGCCCCTTCCTCCACTCATCCCCTCGCCAGCCCCCTCTCCCGTTCCTGGCTGCGGCCTGCCTGACGACCTTTCACAGAACCATAAATCCCTCGTGTAGAAGAGTCAATATCACTTTGGAAGTCACCGTTTTTCTCCTGGGCTTCCTAAAAGGCCTCACACTGTTAGCCGTGGCCTCTCTGCCCCTCGATTGCAGCAAATTTGACACACAGCCCCAGTTTAATGGCCTGGGAAGACCCAAGCCCACCCAGGGATTTCTGCAGCCTCCAAGGCCTCCCTTTGGTGGAAGTGTTTGAAAGGGAACCGACGGAACAGAACGGAGCCCAGAAGCAGACTCCCAGGCAGCTGGACTTTGGTTTATGACAGGTGGCACCTTTGAGCGCTGGGGAATGGAGAACGTCGGCATGATCTTGGGGTACAGAAAGATTTTTTAAACAAGTTACAGAAAGCACTAATCTTTTAGGAAAAGATTGATAAAATTGTACTACATAAAATGAAGAGCATCTGTTCTTTAAAAGGTATATTAAGAAATGAAAAGACAAGCTATAGATTGGGAGAAGGTATTTGAAATACATATAACCATCAAACGACTTACTCCTCAAACTCCTGCACATCATTCAGGCAAAGACAGACAAACCAGGAAAAACACGGGCAAGAGACTTGAACAGGCACTTTGCCCAAGAAGAAATCCTCAGTGAGCAAGGGAATGGTGTTCAACATCATTAGTAATCAGGGAAATGCAAATTAAATCATAATGCAATACTTCTATTCACCCACTAGAATGACTGAATGAAAAAGACATATGGTTCCAAGTGGTGACGAGGATAGAGAACTACAGACACTTGCATATACTGCTCGGAAAGTTGTTTGGCGGTATCTGCACAAGTTGACACCGTGCACACCTGTGTCCCAGCAGTTCCGCTGCTAGGCCCTTCCCGGATAGAAATGCGTGCACAGGTACGCCAGGAGACTCATTCCTCTCCGATGTTCACAGCAGCCTTGTTTATGATGGCCTGACACTAACCAAGTGTTCAGCAACAATACAATGGATAAATAAATACGATTCATTCTTGCAACAGAACACTCTACAACAGTGAGAATGAATTACCCACAGCTCCGCCCAACAGCATGCGGGAATCCCAAAAACACTGTGGGGCTAGGGAAGCCTAATAAAATGCTGTATGATTGCATCGATATACAGCTGAAAAACAGGCGGAAGGAAATTATATTCCTTATGGATAGATAATTAAGCAGCAAAAATAAAAGAAAAGCAAAGAAATGAATGCCATAAGTCAGGATGTAGTCATAGTTACGCAGGTGTTCATTGTACAATAATGCGTCAATCTGTACATACGTGCCGGAAGGACTTTTCTGGCTGTGTGCATATTTCACTATATAAAAGATAATAAATAAGAGAAAGAAGAGAAACTAAAGGTCAAAGAAGCGAAGTAATTTGCCCAAGATAACACAGCTAGTCAGGGAGCTGAGCTGAGAAACAAAGGTGGATGTTCTGATCCCAAAGGATCAGATCATGCTTTGTCCCAGCCCATGCAGGGCACTGTCACATGCGGTCTACCTCCACTCAGTGTGCTGGCTCCCCGGCCCACACGTCCATCTCTCTCTCCCCCTCTTCCTCTCTCTGTGCTTCCTCAGAATGAGGACCGTTTGCAGAAGCCCACATAGAACTCAGCTTCGCCCCTCCCGCAGGCCCCCCCAGCGTTTACTGAACTTCTCAGGCTGTGTGCTGTGTGCTGAAGAACATGCAAGAATTGAAACAGGAACCGTCATCAAAGGCAAAAGGCACTTAGCTCCCTTCTCCCAGAAGTCTAGAGGAAACGCAGAAATCCCAGGGGTTAGCAATGGCAGACGTGTCTGGGCAGGCACGGGCCCTCACAGGTGGGCTCCCACAGCCTCTGCAGGTTTCCTGGCAAAGCTGTTATTAGCCTGGGTTCCCCTGGAAAGGAGGCTTAGAGGATCAGTCCTTCGTTCACTGTTTAATAACGGAGACTGTGAGCCCTTTCAGACTTGTTTGTTCTGGCAGAGAGCAGGCCCCCTCTGACAGACACTACTGGGCAGCGTGCCTGCTGCAGTCAGGGGTGAGCCCGGCCGTCCCCACAGAGAAAACTGGCGCCAGGCCAGCGGGTCAGGGGAGCCTGCTACTGCTGACGGCCTGCCCAGGGGTGGCCCTGGCTGGAGTGCCTCTTGTCTGGGTATTCATTCATTCATTCATGCAGCCAGTCAGTCGTTCACTCAAGAATGTGTTCTAGGGGCTGGGGATGCAGTGGTGAGCAGGACAGACAAGGTTGCTGCCCTCAGGGAGTGCACATTCTACTGGAGGAGACGAATAACAGACAAGATTAGTAAGCCCATTGTAGGTTAGATGGTGATGAGCTCAGTGGAGAAAGAGGAGGTGGGGAGGGCAAGCGGGAGTGATGGGGGGGTCAGAGTTGAGTGACACTTGAGCAAAGGAGATGAAAGGGTGAATTACACAGGCATCTGGGCAGAGAGCTTTGGAGGCAGAGGCAGGAGTGTCCATGTTGGAAGAACAGCAAGGAGGCCGGTGTGGCTGGAGCAGAGCAGTCTGTGAAGGTCGGAGAGGGCGAGACAGGTCAGAGAGGTGAGGGGCTGTGGAGGGATAGGGCCTAGTTGTGTTGGTGATGACTCTGGCTTTTCCGCTGAGTGAGGTGGTACTATTGGCGGGTTGAATAGAGCAGCAGAGCCTGACTCCAGTTCTAACAGGACCCCTCTGGCTGCCATGTTGAGAACAGATGAAAGAAGGCAAGACAGAAACAGAGACCAGTTAGGAGCTCAATACACAATAATGCAGGTGAGACATGAGGGTGGCTTGGCCCAGGATGGTATTGGTGATGAGAAGTAATTGAATTCTTGATCTATTTTGAAGATAGAGCCAGTAGTATTTCCCTGCTGGTGTGGAAGAAAAGTGTAATAGAATGAGAGAAGTCGAAGGTAATTCCAAGATGTTTGAGCTAAGCAACTGGAAGGATGGATTAGCCATTAACTAACATGAGAAGGACCACAAGAAGTGCAATTGCTGGGAAAGGAAGACTGAGAGTTCACTCTGGGGCTTAGTCTGAGATACCTGTTAGAGGCTCAAGTTTAGATGTCAAACAGCCAGTTAGACATTGCAGTCCAGAGATTAGGGAGAGGACTGGGTTGGAGGGAGAATTTGGGGGCCATCGACACATAGATGGGGTTGAAGCCACGAGGCTGGATGAGGCACCACAGAGCAAGTGCAGGGACAGCAGAGGACCAGGGCAGAGCCCTGAGCTGCTCCCAGGTAAGTGTCGGGGAGCAGAGGAGGAGCCAGCAGAGGGGGCTGAGAAGGAGAGCCAGTGGTGGAGGGGAGCCAGGACAAGTGGGGCCTCTGAGCCGAGTGAAGAGAGCTGCTAAAGAGGAAGGAGCAGTGATCAGCTGCACATGCGCTGCCAATGGGTCAACCAGAGGACAACGGACGCTGAGCACAGTTCACTGGTGACTGGGACAGGCTGGTTTTGGTGGAGAGCTGGGGGGAAAGCCTGATAATAGTGGACATGAGGACACATAAGAGGAGGGGAACTGGAGTGTGGGCATGGCCAACTCTTTCCAGAAGTTTGCTGTAAAGGGAAAGAGAGAAATGGGACAGTAGCTGGAGGGGGCAGTTGGGTAAAGAG